GAATTGAGCCCCAAGAGTATTTTATTGAAAGCAGTTGGAGAAGTTGTCCCTATCATTCCCTACCAGGTAATAACTAGCTTAGGCCTTTGGAGTAAGTAAAATGTCATCTCAGGACCTGATTCTGCTCCTGTCTGACAAATTTAATCTCAATATTTTTGGTTGGAAGGGACCTATGACAATCATCTAGCCCAACCAGATATGATAATGAGAAAGATATACCACTGTCCTTGTTGGTATTTTAGAGTAATTGACTTTTTAATGGGAAAGGCTAATGAAAGAACCATTCTTTTGAGAAGCTTGTAACTTTTCATTCCTATGCCTTTTCCTCCCTGACCTTACTACATCCTCATAATTCTCCACCTGCCATAATCTCTTTTCTTAAATCCTGGTTTTGTAGTGTTGAGGGGGATATAAACGCATTCTTCTTCTGCCTCTCAGGGGAAAGAGGAAAAACGAAGAAAGTCGTGAAGTACAAAACTCCTAATGGAAAAAAGAGCTTACTGAACTGAGATATTTTTACCTGCATTTCCTGAGACCTTATCTGATAAACTTACTGTTCTTGGGATTCCAGGGACTGAACTTCAAGAGATACAGAAAATGATTGACAGCCTCCAGAATCCACTGGATCCCAGCGAAGTAGCCCAGCTGCTAGCCGTTCACAGAGAAGTGATCTTTCTACAGTTCGATGCAGCAATTAGGCATCGACTACGGTAGGAATTACAGCCTGTTAGGGATGGGACTGGCACCTTTTTTATAAAGAGGCTTTTTTTTTGTTTACAAAGAAAGAAAAAAATGTAGGAAAGATTAATTTAAATTTTGTCCATGCTATCTGCTCCAAGATCTTGAAACGTGCCCTGTAAGTGTAGAAATTTTCCTTTCACTAAAAGTGCCAATTTTCCTTTAACTAAAAGTGGTGAGAGTCCTTACATGCTTCATTGAGGGATCTCAACACACCATGTCTGAGTACAGCTGTCCTATTGTCTGAGCATTATATCACCTTTATGTTGTGATTCATAGTTTACTAAATCAGGGAGGCTGGTAGCTGCTACAGAGGTAGACTTCTGAGTTCATGTTCTTGTTTTGCTGCAGGATCTACATTTAATTTTGTATTTTCCTCTATCAAAGAATGCTTAATAAGCAGGCACAGGACTTACTGCTTATACCGAGGTCTAGGTTTACCCTCCTGTAAAATGTTATTTACCCCATCACAGAAACCTAACTAAGATACATTTTTCAGGACTTTCTAAAAAGTAACTGTCTGTCTTTTCTCCCTGCTCTCCTCCCGTATGTTGTCTGTCAATAATGGTCACAGAGAGGTTTGAATGTACTCAGCGGAATAATCTTGGCAGAACCAAAACAAGGGCAGGACGTGCAAAAGTAAAGGAAATTTCAACTCTCCTCCCCTCTGTAGGTACCACGTGGTGGCAGGCTGCAAGGCTGGATTTGTAGGTGTAGCCTGCGTGGAGCGGACAGGCTAGGGAGTCTACCAGAAGAGAAATGACTCCTGGACTTGGCTTTGAGTAACACGCAGGACCGAGTTCAAAATGCTGCAGTTAAAGAGCTGTTCTCTAAGAGCAGCCATGATGTGCTTGCATAAAACATCCCTGAAGGAACAGTGAAAGCCAAATAAATATCACCATAGCTGAGCTCAGCTTCAAAATGGGAAACTACATAAAAATGAGAATACGTGCTGAAAAAAACATAGGAGGATTAGCTGGGGGAGTTAAATCCTTGCAGATGGCGTGGAGACTCTTTGGGGACATACTGGAGGCACTCAAGAAATGCATACCACATGTGAAGAAAGACTTAAGAAAGGGTAAAAGAGGATGCTGGCATGGCTAAGCAGCAGGATTAAACAGATTATTAAAGCAAGAAGGCATCCTTCGAAAAGCTGAATTTCCATTCAAATGAAGAAAACAGAAAGGACTATAAACTGTGACAGGGTAAATGTAAAAGGATTCAAGACAGCCCAGCAAAGATTTTGAGGAACAATTTTGCTGAAGGCATCAAGACTAATAATAAATCTTGTTTCAAATATACCAGGAGCAGGAAACCTGCCAGAGAGTCCGTAGGGCCAATAGGTGATCAGGAGTGTTCAGTGAAGATAAGTCAATAGCAGACATTTTAAAAAGTGATTTGTTTGTTTCTGTACTCCCTGTGGAAGAACTTGAGGAGGTTCCCACACTAAAACCTTTCTTTATGGGAGATGCATCAGAGGAGCTGCTGCAAGTGGAAGTGTTGCCAGGGAAAGTTATGAAATGAAGATGAACAAGTTGCCAAGACCAGACAATGTTGAAGAATTCTGAAAGAACTCAAGGTTTTGTTTGGTTTTTTTTTTAAAGAAGCCAAAGTACTAGCTGTGGTGTGTAGCTTCTTGCTTAACACTGCCTTGACACCCAAAGACTGGAAGTGGCTGATGTGTTGCCAGTTGTTAAAAAGGATTGCGAGGGTGATCTGGCTAATCACAGGCTGATAAACCCGATATCCATAGTGTTCAAATTCGCAGAAACTGTAATGAAGTGGATACATGGACAAATATGATGTATTTGGGAAGAGTCAACACTGCTTTTGGAAAGTGCAGTCATGCCTTACAAACATACTCTCTGAAGGTGTTAACAAACGTGGATAAAGGGTTGATACAGTTTGTCTGGATTCCCTGGAAGCTCTAACAGCCTCGACAGAGTCTCTTAAGGAGTCTGAGCAGCCACTGGATGTGTGAGGAGATGGTCACATTTGTAAATAATTTGTTGAGATTTAGGAAGGAGAAGGTTGTAAATGGGCAACTTTTGCAGTGGATAAGGGAGGTTACCAGTGGCTTCCCACAGGAGTTTGAGCTTTTCCCTGTGCTGTTCAGGTGCTCATAGATGACATTGAAAAGGGACTGAAGCTGAGGTGGTACAGTGTGTACGTGACACTGTGATACCCAGGATACCAAGGGCAAGGGCTCGCTGGAGAAGGACCTTACAAAACAGAGTGACTGCAAAATAAAACAGCAGATGGAGTTCAGTGTGTCAGTAAAATGATGCACCTGGGGAAAAAAAACAATCCCAATATATAAAATGACAGCCTCTGACTTGACCATTACCGTGCAGTAATGAAATCTCAGAGTTATGACAGATAATTCTGTCAAAATTTCAGCTCAGTAGCGATAAAAAAAAAAAAAGGCAAAAAGCAAATTGATTCCCTTTAAGAGAGCAAAAATTAGAACACCACTACACCGCTGAATAAATCTGTGTTGTCAAGCCTACGCAGGTCTGGTCCCTACCTGAGGAAGGACAGAGAACTCGGAAAGGTTCCCAAAAGAGCCACACATACGATGAAAGGTTGCTGGGTGGAACAAGTAGTACAGCTGGGGGAGAGCTCTGTAAAACCGTCAGTCGAAGGCAGGGGATAAACAAGGAGTGTCTGCTCACGGTCTTTTGCAGCGTAAGGTGCATCCCAGGTGAACGTCAGGTAGCCGGCTCTGAACAAAAAAAAGGCGGTTCTTGCACGTGGCTTGTAATTAGGCCGTGGGATTTCTTGCTGCTGGATGTGGTGGGTGGTAAAAGTTCATAGGACTTGGGGGGAGACTGCACAGACTCATGGAAGACAAACCTACCAAGGGTTATTAAACATTTAGCAATCACTTCTGGCTGAGGAAATACCTGAGCTACAAATTCTTGGAGGCTGTGAGAATATCTGTGGGAATTATCAGCATATGCTTGTTCTGGAGATTTTTGTAATCTTCTCATGAGTCCACTTTTGATCACTGTGGGAGACAGGACTCTGAGCTGGGTGGACCTTTGCTCTGACCCAGTATGACCACGCTTGTGCTATCCAGCGGAGTTGTGATTGTACGTATTTGTAGACTAAAGATTTTTCTGGAGACTCGCAAGAATATAAAACTACCTTGTGCTTTTATTTCTATTTTTTCCTGATTAAAATACTGTAGGGGCAATTGGTGAGGGAAATGTTTTCCTCGGGCAAGGAATTGTGTGTTAACAGGAAGTAAGAAGAAATGCAGTATATCAGACGCTTCATCTTTCTTATTCCTTATTGCCAGTGCAATTAGTTTCCATTTTCTCCACACCAGGGCTTACAGTGTGACACTAAATCACATTTACTCTCTTTTGAACTTCTCTGCCAAGTCTGATCCCGGAAGCTGTTATTTGTCCCTGTAATTCCTTTTAGTCTTGCAACTGATACAAACTGCATGTCATATTTAAAAGCGCTTGTGTATGCTTGACAAAAACAAAAGGACAAGATCCTTATCTTAGAGTTGCCATTCAAAGGAGGATGTGAAACTACAGAAAGACTTGCAGTCGAGGTTTTTTCTTATATTGCAAGAACTGGTTGAACAGGAACTCTTTGTTTTAAAAGTGTGTGAATGAAGCACAGGAGAATTGAATGTGACAAAGAGGCTGCAATGAAATGACAAAGTCGTGTCTAAGCTTGGTTGGGTAATACATTTACATGATGCATAGAGTGTAGTAAAAGGTAGCTTTATGTGTGTGATTGCACAGCACAATGCAATCCAAGCAAGAGGAGCCAGCTGGGTCCCAGAAGCGCTATACACCTGTGTTGGAGTAGCACTCTGCTGGTTTAGCTGGGCTCTGGTGTCACCTGCATTGCTGTGTGAGACCAGGTGCATTTGCTAGGTGAGACCAGGTCTCATGAAAATCTGTGGGGAGTGTTGCTGCTAAACCTAGCTCTGGACTCCAAGTATCCTATAATTTAGGTTCCAAAGCTTCACAGGCACTTTTGAAAGCTTTGAAAAGTTTTAGTGGCTCTCCCACTCTGTATAGGAAATTATCCTAGTATCAGGAATAGGAGGTAGTAGAGCTCCTGAATTATTATCCAGTCTATTAGCTACCCGAGCATCCCGCTCTGTTAGCATAGACGTATGTTTTGCTGTAAATGTCCCCAGTCAGATGCACTTCCACACATGCATCTATATCATTAACATTTTTGCCTGTTTGTTTTAGTCATCATATCTGCTGCTATCCCTATCACTCGTTACCATGTTGGGCTATAATGAGGAGCAGGTAATTTTATTACAAACCATTTGGAGAGTTTTGAAGGCATTTTACCTCTTTTTAATACAAACATTTTGGTTCCTTTTCAGGGAGACATTTTTGTCCTCGGGGAATGCTTCAGCCTACCAGAGCGTTACAGACAGGATATACCATGCGCTGCCTCCATTGAGTAACTCTGCGATTCAGAGTGCATTTGCTTCACAGCTAAGGCTCCCACAGCTTCTGGATCCTCAAAGCTGTAGGGTGAGTAAAGCGTACCCTCAGAGGTGCTCTTTCTCCATTTGCACTGAGCTCCTTGGAGAACAAAGTCCTCTGCAGTTCTTGCTGGGCTGCTTAATCCTTCCCTACCATGGTGCAAAGAACCTAACTGCTGATAGCTAATTATAAAAATTCCCATTATTACAGCTTATTAACTTGATTCACCATTAGGAATTCTAAAAAATGTTCTCTACAGAAGTGAATAAAAATTTGAGATGGAATGTAATCACACTGATGTCACCAAAACGGAACTACTGTGCATGATAGATGTTGGTGATTCTACTAACTTTCAGTTTTGGGTAATTACCCTTCTGAGCTCTCTCATCACCTGGCAGCAGTTTTGATTGCCCAACGTGTCTGTCATGGTTGTGTGCAAGATATTTAGGTCTAGTGGTGTCTTAGCTATAGCATCACACAGAGTTACATAATGCCAAATTAGATACCTATGTGCTAAAGAGGCACCTTGAATGACACCGGCAAAAAAAAGCTGGTGTCATGTTAGGGAAAGTAAAGATGAGTCTTGCTGGTGATATTACCATGTTCCAAGGTAATAGGCAATTTTAAATAATCACTCTAACGTCATGTTTCCTAATTTTCATCCCATCCTGCTAATTATCCAATATCAGATACTACTGTTTCACCTTTAATAATGCCTTTCCCAAACAATGAGTTATAGGAATACAATTTTCTGCCACCCTGCCTTTATTTAGGTGACAATGACACATAGGACCTCCTTAGTATAACTGGGAAACAGAGTTTGTACTGTCATGCAAAATCTGGACATCTTTGATGAATAAGATGTCCTGATGCCTCCGAGATAGGACCAGCAATAAATGATTGACAGTAGGTAGGTGAGGATCTGGGAGCTATTCTGTGGACGCAGAAGTAGCACAGCATCTTGGTAGGAAATGCATTCTGGAATTAATCCTATTGCTTCTTTCCCAAGGAGTGATAATAGATGCTTCTCTCTTTTCCAGTACGTGGCCTACTTTCAAAGTCAGAGCAGAATGTATCACATACCAAATAGCAGCTTGGCCTCCGAGTTGCCTTTTCCTGATCAGATTAGATGGGACTCTCATAACTAATTGAATGTTGTTCTTATTTGTGAACAGTCATCTTTATTCTTTTAGACACTCCTGCATTTTCCTTGGAGGACATTCCTAATGGATGGAGGATTGTTTCCAGTCAGTATCAACAACACAATTAATATAAATTACAACATGCAGGTACAGTGAGACAGCCTTGTGCTTATGTCCAAAGACGTAAAGACAAGATGAATCTATGATGCAGGAGGAAAACAAACTAATGCTATCTCGTTTCCTGTCTTTGTTTTTTAAAGAACAGAAGTGAACAAAAACATCTCCCCCTTTCCTGTCCAAAAGCCCATTTTACCATTTACTTCACATTTGATCTTTCTTCAAGCAGAGCAGAGCGTTTTTATTGATAATGAATCTATACTTATCATTTTCCTAGCGTGCTAGAACTAGAGAATCAAATAATTTTTATGCACAGGCATACACGTTTTAGGACCATGGCGCTAAAAGCTTGAAATCCATTTGTGTTTCTAACACAAAAGCCCCGTGCTGACAGTTACCTGAGATTTGCTATTACTTGTTAAGCTCTGAGCAGCAGACCTTCAGAGACTCTCCCTTCCTCTCCAGCTGTGCCTGTGCAGCCTGAGTGATGCCGACCGAAGAGTTGCTCATGGGGAGCTGGTGGCAATGCAGTTTTTAATGGAGGATGTACTGCAGAACAGCTACGGCTGTGCTGTGGAAGATCACATTGACTGTCAAGCCTCGTTAGCTAAGAGCAAGCAGGTACCTCTGACAACTCTGTTTGGGACTGTACAGCTTCTGTGTAGGACTCCCATTAGTTTTTGCAACCAAATCTCTGTGAACATAAGCGACCTAGACCTGAGGTATGCCGTGATAACCTCGCCTACTCCTGGCCGTCTGGTAAGAAAGCAAAGGGAACAATGTTGTCTCCTATAAATCCTGAGTGGTGTTGAGGGAAGCCTCAGTGATAGACGCCCCTTGAGGGCCTGCTGGTATCCCCAGACTTCTGGAGAAAACAGAGACTGTCCTGACTTCTCCCCACGTCCCACCGAAGGTCCAGCTCTTTCTTTATCAAGAGCTACTCAGTGCAAAGAGGAAAGGAACAGCCTAGCCACTGTCTAAAACCAAATCTAGTCAAGGAGAGGCAAGGTACTTCCAGGCTGTACTTCCCCGAGTACTTGCATTGTGGGTGTGTATACGAGGAATGGTTGCTGGGGGCACCTAAAGCTTGCCAGAAACTACACAGAGATTTGGTTCAAGGAATGGGGAGAGATTCAAACTGTTTGTGATGGAAAACAGACACACTGATTGATTTTCAAGGTAAAATGGATGGAAAGGACCAATTTAGTTATTTTAAGGTCTACTTCCTTCAAGATCTGAGCTAAGAGTTTGATTTCTGTAACAGTACTTTTTAGTTAGAGACCAAGCAGAGTGTTGCTGCTGAAGCAATTCACTTGAGGAAAGCAGCAATAAAACAAAGGATTTAACTTCTGTGCAATTTTATCCCCATCTCTGCTGTGTGTGAGTACTCACTGCAATCAAAAAGTAGCCTGGGTTTTCCCTGTACCATGCTCTGAAGGACACTGGTATAAGGCCCTGTTGCAAGTTCTGATTGCACAACAGCCTGTCGCATGACTTGTCTCACCGTATATTGCACGAGATGCTATTAAGCAAAGAAAAGCATGTGGAAAGCTTGTCATAACTTTTTGAAGCAAAACATTTCCCTGTGACTTCCAGCAGAATTTGGCAGAAACGGGTCACTCAAGTGCTAACTGGCTGCAGAACAGCAAAAAGACATCCAAACTTTTGCTGAGGCATCATGGTCCTGTCATATCATGTAACTTGCTGAGATCTTTTCTGATGCTATGGAAGCAACTAGAAATATTAAAGGCAGAATGGGGCCAGCTGAAGCTGAGGACTGAGGATATCAACACAGTTCCTCTTTACAAAGAGTTTTGTGAGCAATATGGGTAAGTTACCTTGGATGCAAGAATATTCCAGAGTAACTGAAAAGATGAAAAATGAGAAAAGTTTCTGCCTTCTCCATCCATTTTCCTCCTGTCCCCCTCTTTCACTTGTCTTTTTTTTTTTTTATTTCTACCTTTCTTTATTTTTGCTTATAATTAACCTAGTACTTTCACTTTTCTCTGAAGGCTTGAGAGCTACCTTTTGTTTCTTTGTTTCAGTACGGTTGTTTTTTCCCCTCTTTCAATGTCTGTTCAGACTGTTTGCTGATGATGTTTTCCAAGTGCATTCTTCTCAGTCGTGTGACCCGCCTCTGTATTTCAGGCTCCATAAACAATGTTAAATACAGTACTTGAATAAATGGAAATTTTGGAAGCCTGTTAGATGAATTGTAGCAGAATTCTTCCTAACCCTCCCACTTGGCTCAACTTTGAGCAGTCAAGAATAGAAAATTGGAAGATTTCCATCAGAGAGGCCCTTCTGAAAGCAGAAAATGGAACATCACTTTGTAAAAAGCCTTGTCCCCGGAAACCGCAAGAAAGGAAGTGAAAGAGCAAGATGACACAGTAAGGGTGAAATCCGTGCATGAAGGCACTGGAAAACACCGTTGTCATGCAACGGAGCACGGAGGAAGCGATGCTCAGTCGGCCTGTCCCTATAAGGCCAAGGCATTTTAGATTGACAAGTCTGAATCGGTCACAGAAAATTTGTGTGTGTGTAAAGAGCTGGTATCAGATTTGCTCCATTCTGGTCTCCATTTATTTGTATCCCAGTGTTACCTCCCATGCATTACCTCCAGATCGGAGGGGGCACAGTCCAATGCTGGGGGCCCACAGTCTTTGCCTCTAATTAATTTATAAACTCTGCCCAGGGAGCAGCTCCAGGGCAGAGCAGGGCTGGGTTGCAGGAGGGCTGTGAGTCAGGGCGCAAGTTCTCCGTGCAGCGTGAGCAACAGCTTGTGCTTCCACCATGGGGCTGGGCAGCTGTGGGAGAGCCCCAGCCTCAGCATCTCCCAGCCCCTCTGCACCCCGAGCTTTCCTGTGGTGATGCCCGGGATCGGCCTGAGCAGTTAATGCCTGCCGGGAGGAAAGGTGAGCTCCCTGTCCCTGGCTTTGCTTACACTGGCCTTTGAGCAGGAGGAGATTCTGTAGCGGCACCTGCAACAGCTCTTTCGTAGCAGGCAATCTGCCAAATGCTCTGTACCCCAAAATCCCTCCTCCACGTCCCCACCCGTCCCCTCCCACAGATGAGAGCTCCCTACTTCCCTCTCTGAGCTCTGTGCTAACCTTTGTGTCGTGCCATCAAGGGTTTAAAAGGCAGCATGATTAAAGCAATAAAATGTAAGGAGGTATATATGCCTTGCTAATGGCTCCTCTGCTTCTAAAAGCAAAGTGCGTGTCTGCCTTGGCACTTAGCACTCAGAGGCACTTAGCAAACCCACCATCAGATAGGAAGGAGCGCAGGGGGAGGGAGTTGCTTGGTCTATTTGAACAACGGTGATAGACAAGTTGTTACCGCTGACCAGATTTCCCCGCTTTATCTGGTTGACCCCTTGTTCCTTCCCCTTGGTTTTAGTTTTGTATTGTTATAAAATTGGAGAAATTACTGAACTATGTAATAAGGCAGGACCAGCGAAGAAGAGACTGTCCTGCCCCACTTGTAGGTCGAGTGGGGCTAAGGCAGTGAGCTGAGACTTAATCATATTCTGCACGGGTTAGGAGCAGGGGCAGGGGAAGAAAAAGGAAAGTTAAGGTCCAAGGTCAGTAAATGCAAACACAGTAATTTTGAGAGAGAATGTGTGAAACACCCGTGTCTTGGTGATTCTAGTGCAGACATCCTGTACCCGGCCATGAAAGCCATAGTCAGACAAACGGGCACAGAGGAGGGGTTTGGAGAGCCCGTTACAAGCACTCAGCATATACTTCCCCCCAGAGGAGCATCAGAAATCGAAATGAAAGTGTACCAGGTAAGGGGAGGGTTATCAGTGGGGTGTTGCGGGGGACCACACAGTGTCATGTTTTCCTGCGGTTTCTGATAAGTGAAGTCCAGCGGGGGCCCGTGGAGGCTGTCATGGGGGGGAAGTTTGGCAGATGTGGGTGACCTGGGAGGCTCTGCAACAGCACCTCTGCTGTGTGGGGCCAGGTGTGGGTCCTGGGACAGCCCAAAGCAACAGGGCCTCTGCCTGTTGTGTACTGTTGTGTACTGCCAGAGTACTTGTGGCACAGCACTAGGCATACAGTCACCCCCAAATGATATTAACCTTGATACTGTATCTGAAAGTACTGTATTTTAGAGAAGAATGGAAAGAGGATTGCTTTGGTTTAGTTTTTGCTAGTTGGCAAGTTGCTTTATAAGCAGTATAGAGATTTAGTAAGAGCTAAGTATTAAGCTTGATTCTAGCTTCAAAAGCTTCTGGAAAGCCTAGAAATCCACATGATCCATGATGTGCAGAAGAAAATTAACCAGGAGATGACTCTAGTGACATCTGAAAGAGCCAGACAAGACAGCAGTCTCCCCACTGGTAAGGAGAATTAAAATACCCTTCCTGGGAAAGGCGGGAGCCCCGGCCTTGAGTGGGAAGAGTAGCCTTGATGCATAAAGGCAGAAAAGAGTTGTCCTGCGTGTGAACAGGAGAGCATATTTGCTCTCAGCTCCTCACTTCCCTGTGCGCCCATCTGGAGGCCAGGGACCAGCTGAATTGTGGGGAAGGTATCACTGATAAAAAACGTCTTACCCTCCGGAAACTCTCTTCTGTTTTGGAGAGCCCATTGTGAGATGTGAAATTCCAGAAATACAGCTAGCAGGAAGCTGTGAAGAATTGTGTACCGAGGTACCATACAGCTTTCTACATGGACCTGTTTATTCTGTCTGTTCAACAGATTCCAATTCCCTAAATCTAAGAGTTCACTTTCTCCTTATAAAGTGAATGTTTAGCCATAACCATTGCAATGACAATTGTGAAAACAAGGCTGAACACTAATTATTCTGGAGTTTGCAAGCAGCCTGAAACAGACTGATAGGAAATTACTTCCCTGTGTTGGAGTGTTAATATTTTAAGGCCTAGCAGTGCAATTTAAATGCCAGACTTTTTAGTATGTTAGGTATTTACTTGGTACAATTACTGCATGGGTATGGGCAATTTGGGTATTCACAGGCACAAATAGAAAAACAAAGAAAAAGTGGAAATAAAAGGGAAGAAAGATGTGCCCTACTGCCACCGGTTGTGGTTGCAGGCAGCAATAATTAGTGCACAGAAATGTTCAATTTCACACAAAAGCCATATTCTTTACTCAATATTTACAGAAAACTCCAATACACGATTGTGGGCCAGGTCATTATTGACAGAACTGGTCTGTAATGAAATTGCATTCTGGCTTTGATACCAGAACGAATTTGATATTGCTGCTCAACACAGGCTTTGCAATCTGTTTGCAATGACATTTACTTTTTGTTGTAAACATTTTAGGAAAGCTGAGAAACCCTAAGCTATATATAAAGTGTACCCAGTGTCAAATCCCAGGCATTACTGAAGGATCAATATTTTGTGACAGTGATACCCACTGATGTGTGGTTTTATTCTGTGTGGGGTTTTTTTCTCCCTCTGTTCCTGCAGAGATCTGGAAACACAGGGTAATGCAAGAAAATTTCTCAGTTGTACGACCACAGATAGTTGAAACATTTGTTCAAAGGCTGATAGAAAACTACCAAGAATCAGATACAGAGGTACATATTCTGCATTTCTATCTAAGTAACAGCTAAATCATGTTTACAGCTTTATTTATTAAAGCTCTTGTCAATCAGTTACCTAAAAGAGAAACAACATTTCTTAAGCTTATGAGCTTAGATTCAAATTATGTTGGTTTGTAATAGCAGCATTGGCAGCAAACTTGTGTATTGCCCTACTGCCTTCTGACAGATTTATTTCAGCTCTCAGGACTGTAATAATATGAAAATGAGTTAGGGCTGGAGGTTTATATGCAACCGCAATGCAGGATTGCAGGACTTTATTAATGGCTTCAGTAGTGGGAACTCTTCTTCCTGAGTCATTGCTAAATCAGGGGTCCAGCACGATGTTAGGAACCAGGTTTAGGTTTTTTCCAGTGAAATTTGAAGAAATTATTTATGAAAATATGACCACTTCTTGTTAAAAAACACAAAACATGTTTTTTTGACAGAAGGGATGTTGGGGCCCAACTGCAGTCCAGGCAGTTTCTGAGCTGGTGATTTAACTTCCGTACTAAAAATTCTCTTTTAGCTTCAGATGGAAAAAAACAAACCATTATGCAGTTGCAGCTAGAACCAGTCAAAAAACTGACAAATCTGTTTTCCATTAGTTCAGTGAAATTGTAGATTGGGCAAAAACATTTACACTGAATATTTTTGCTTCATTTTGATATCGCAGAAGCATTTTATTTACAATAAGGTGACGATGTTTCATTTTGATGTGTGCTGTATATAGCAACTCTTGTGACTCAGGCCATCTGCAAGGTTTCTTATTTTGTTTTCCTAGGTTACTTTTACAAAAAGCCATTTACAACAGTGTCTCACCATACTGGGCTGTGACATCATGGCCAGAGAGCGCAGCAACTTTGAGACCTACTCCATGTTTTATGAAAATATTCTCCAGCAGCAGCATCGTTTGCTTTACCAAAAAGAACAAGTATGCTCAGAGCGTTGCTTCTACTCTTCAAGAACAGGGGAAGGTGGTTTCTCTGGGTGGGAGGCAGTTGCTAAGTAAAAAATAAAGTCAAGCTGTCAGGCTGGGAAGTTGTTGAAGTGGAGTTGGGCTACACAAGCATCGTCACCGTGCATCTTTGTGCTTTGCTTCAGGAGCTGCACGCAGTGGAAGAAGGTGGCAACCAAAGTGATATGGCTCTGACACAGGTTGGTGATGGTGGTCTATCGATTGGTAGTACTTAGTGATCTCATTTGGGACAGAGTCCCACTGCGCAGACACACGGTGACAGTCTTTGAGAAGAAAGCTAGGGGGGCTCTGGGGCTGCTGTTTCTGTGCTCGATGCCAGAAGTCATGCCGGAAGGACTTGTAAAACAAAGATAACCTGAAGGCAAAGGTAGTGGCCTGCTGTTCTGTGGTTCATGTTCACAATGGATGATATACTGGTAACCTTCTAACTTAAACTTCTACTGACGGGTCTCTTCCTTCACAAGGCATTTTCTCAGAGCAATTCAATCCTGTGCATTGACTGAGATAGAAAATAGGAGTGGGTCAGGCACGTAGGCCATACTGCAGTGTAGGTACCAGGTATGCTACATCATGGCTGCATAACCAACTCCTTCTTAAGTTCTGAGTACTTGACTTTGCAGCTTCAGCTGTGTTTTTTAGGATAGCTGGTATGTGTGGGTGGAAATGTCTAAAGTTAGGATAGCTGGTATGTGTGGGTGGAAATTTCTAAAGTAAACCCAGCCAATAAATCAGAAATGCTATCTTGTGGAATCATGTGATATCCATGTAATCTATTAGCTGAGTTGGAGGCTTGGCTCCATCAACACAAAGTCCACTGCTAGAGGCGTGTATAGAAACCTACACTAGGGAGAAGACTGCTTGGGTTTCAGAGATGTTTGCACAGCAGTGTTAGAACACCTGCATTTTGGATTTCATTCCTGGGCTCCTTTTCTCATCTGTCCTCACCACTGACTACAAGATTTCAGTTCTTCTCTGGGCTTCGTATCAGTTTCTTGCCCCGCTTCCTCATGTTTTTTCCAAATTTTTTCCCCTATATCCTTTTCTGTACGGTGTCTTGTCAGCAACTGCCCTTCTTCCCTGATTTCACTGTCCTGTCCATATGTTTCGGAAGGCTGGAGTGAGAGAGAAAATGAGAAACACGTGTGAGGTTTCAGCTGGGTGGAAACATACAGGAGTCGTCAGTAGGACTTTCCTGGAGCCTGTGGGCAGTGGAGTCTCTCCCCCCCTCCACTTTGCTAGCCCATCACCACCAAATTGCTGTCTAATTTGTGTTGTGCTCGAAGTGGCCCAGGATGGCCAGCTGCCTACAGCCTCTGGGCTCTGCTTCAACCTCAGAAGAGACTTCCTGCTCCCAGTTCCACTTCTGGAATTGCCTAAAGCAACTAACAGACGCTATTGCAAGTCTGAAGAGCAAGCTCAGTTGCTCAGTGGAGGTGTTAGAAACCATGAGAAAGGTTCAGGCATGATCAGCCAAAATGGGATGGCAGATAGTTTGAAAACTAAAAAGTCTCTAAGGAACATACATGAACCATGTGGGTTGGTTTTTTTTCTCCAACAAAGTCGTAGGATTTGACCAACTTTTTGCTGACTTTACTAAAAAGACACCCAAAATAGAGGAAAACTAGTGCTGCTCTGAATAAAGATCACAATAATTTTTCAGCAGGGCTAAAATACATGTATTTTTCACCAGCATTCATTTTCAGAAGTCTCTCAGTAGTGTTTGCTGTAAGACAAAAAAATTGACACAGAAAATTTCAGTGAGAATCCAGTGAAGTTATTAGCATTTACTACTTAGATCTGGCATGCGGAGGTGCCAGGCAACCTTGAAAGCAGACTGTGCTGTTGGCTGTGCTTACAGTCTGCAGTTGTGCCTATTTCTTATCTGAGTAACGTAATATGCTAAGAATGATTTTTAGCTTTCCTCCATTGTGTTCATCTGGTTGCAAATGCTGTTCGGCGGTATGAAAATGACCAAACATTTATACCTAGCAATGACCTGCCTATGTGAAATTTAAATTCTGTCATTTAAATCTGTTTGAGTTCTATCACGTACCTTCCTATTTGTGCTAACCTGTGTGCCCTTTCTGAGGGTATGTTAATTGTCAAATATCAACAAATGGAACACATAGTTGTTTTTGTCATATATTAAATGGTCTGCATGTACAAGCTTATCAGCAGACAGAATATTTGCTCCGATAAATGCATTACCTCACAGCTTGCTGAACGAAGCCTGGTCACAGTTCTTCTGACTTTCTCTCTGGAGGCAGGGGAGATTATGCTATGGGAGGCCAGACTCACCAACATAGCAGAGCCAGGCACAGGATCTTCTCCTAAAATCAGATTCCCTAATCCTGCTCCCCAATCTTTCTGCTCCTCTGTCCTCTGCGCACATTTCCTTCTGTCAGTTCTCATACCTATTAGCGAGGAGATCTTTCTTTCCTGGTGACCAGAAACAGGCGTTTTAAGGTTACGTACGCATTTGCCCCCTTCAAATATCGTTCGTGAACTGCCACAATTCTTCCTACTCTTTCCAGGGAAGAAATGTTTCTAAAACCAACAGAGATGTACAAAATGGATTATTCCATACCATCAATGGATTATTTTTATCAGGACACTCAGTTAAGAAGATATTCTTGCTCTACTTAATTAGGTATCACGCAACATATTCAGAGCTCTGGATTGTTTACTCCTAGGCTATGGTGTTTGCTCATCCCTAGCTTTGCTCATTCACTTTCTCTGCTCTGACAGATTGTGGGGCTGTGCCATGGCATGATTATGGAAATAACTGCTCTCAGAGCCCAGCTCGCTGACCTAGAGGAAGAAAATCTTGGTCTCAAAGAGAAGATTAGAAAAGAAGTACGGGATGAATATGGATCATTAGTGCGGAACCTATTTGTGACTTGTGTCCATCTAAAAGTAGGTACAGAATAAGAGGGGGTACTCAATCGGTCTTTTTGTGCTGCTGTATAATTTGCCAACAAGTGTAGCACTCAAAGGAATAAATTGCTGCAGTGTGCCAGGTGGATGAATGGGTGAATCATTTTTCTCCTGCTGCTAGAAGCATCTTGTAAAAACGTCTGGTAGAAAAATAGCGTACCTTTTCTAAGAGAGGAGGCGTATTCTTGATGGAACAGGTACCACATTAGAGAGAGTGATGGAAGCTCTTTTTAGTTACATACAGTGGAGGGAACTTTCTGGATATAATACTTCAGTTTGTAATATTTTGCATTATTTTTCTTGGGAACTTTATGTCCACTGTGTAATTGTATTGCTCACTCTAACAATGCCTTTGTTTTCAAGTAGTGCACTGATTTCTTTTGGGCGACATATGTCATTACTTACAAAAATAAGATACCCCAATCTAGCCTGTAAAAACTGACCTGATTGTGACCATGTGTATTATAGAGCAGCTACCTCCATGAGATCCCCAGGGTTTTGATTGACGGTCCACAAGCCCGTTAATGTCTGTGGCCAGGGCAATAGTGACTTGAGGAATATTGTGATTTCTTTTGCAATCCTGAGGGTGAGTCCAGTTTTCACCAGAGAGCCTATTTTTTCACCATGGTGCTGCTACTTCCATTAAATACATACATCCCAGGATTGCCAATAGGTTGCCTGCAAATGATACAATTGAAATTCCACTTCTTGTAGTGTCTGTATGCAAGAAGAATATTGCTCTGTCTTCCTGTTACATTGATTCTAGGAAAATGATTATGAAGAAGGACCATCTGGTTGTAGCTGAGAGACTTCTGAAATCTTCTGAATGTTTCTTTCCCATATGCGCACACTTCATCTCTTATGGGTTCTGTTTGTAATTGCAGGGAAAGTTGGATGTCTATCGCCTTAGCATTGAGCAACGAATGTTTGAAATCATCAGTGAAGTGAGAAGAGAAGGAGTTGACAATATGATTGATCTGAAGAAAAAGTTTGGCTCCACTAAAAATAATGGTGACTTGAAAGAACGTTTGTCTAAAGTAAGGAAATACATACGTGTGCCAGTAAACGAACACAAGGATAATATCCTGGTTAAGCTTGCTGAAGATGGCTTAAGTTATTGCATTCTATCTGGGACATCGGCTGGGTGAAGAGCATGGAGGTGGTCCATTACTAGACTCTGTTAATGGCTACTCATTTGTCAGGCTGTCTTGCATCAATCATCTTTGACTGTGTGTTTATGCTCCAAGTGCAGAAATTTTGGGCCAAACTCAGCCCTTAGACCCTGAAACTGTATGTATTTGAATTGATTTTGGTTCTAAACTTCGCAACTCTGCTTTCAGTCTGTTCTGAGTGAGACTAACACCATGCTTTCTACACAGGTGAACATCAGAGAGGTTGAACTTGGATCTGAAGAGGTATAAATGTGAACTCACATTCAATCATATGTTAGCATTGTCATGTGTTGTCATTGTCCCTTCTTTGGGTGGGGGAAAGAGAATGTGATGTTTCAGTGACCCTGATAAATGTGTTGATGGGAGTTTTATCTTCTTGTCATGCAAGCTGGTCACATAAAAGAATGGGGACAGAATCCTTTTTTCCATTTGGGGCTACTTAGAATCAAAAATATATTCAGCTTTATGTTTTGAAAAAATGCCCCCAAAACTGATGTTCTGGGAGTTATAAACTAAAGCCTGGGAAGTCATTTCCAGGCTACAACTTCCAAATCAACCCCTTTTCTAATCAAACATATTCCTCCTCAGCAAAGTTCAATTTGTACTAAAATTATGGTAGTCAGTCAATGAATACAAATGAGATCAAATGGATAATGGCTAAATACTTCTGTCTAAAGTAAATATGCCTGCAGCTCTCTCAAGCAGAGAAGCTTGCGAAGCAGGATATAACTGTAATGCCAACTGAGCGAGAAGGGCTTTCAACACCCGCAATGAACCTGGGGGATAGGGACACCCAGAAGTAAATGAGGAACTGTGGAAAGGGAGGAGGTCCGCGTGTCAGAAGGCTGCAGGGAAACTTCCACATCCCCACTTGGAAAGGATGGTGTGCAGAGGCAGTGAACAAGGAGAGTGGGGAGCTCGTGCAGCCAAAGGGCTGTGGTTTGAGCAGAGTCATGGGAACTTGGTGGGCTGGTGCACACCATGGTCATGGGTGGTTGGTTACAGGGTGTTTAAGAAGGATCAGCAGGGAAGAAGATGAGCGAGAATTGCACTCTAAGGAGTACGTTCCCTGCACAGAGCTCGTGTATGAATGTAGAGAGGTACTACTGAAAGCCTATGAGTCAAGGTCAGAGGAGGGAGGAACGTTAGTGATGATTAATGACTGCGATGGGGAATCCCTTACAGACTGCCTGATCAAGAGAATAAATCGGATGGGCCCGTCTATAGAGGGCTAAGAAAAGTGTTTTTGATTTGAGGCCTTGGTGTTCATGGAGGTTTTATCCATCTGGAAATCTACTGGAAGGGGAACAGCATTGTGAAAGCCTAGGCAGTTCCTAGTCAGCATTTGTGATAATATCCTAAAAGCAAGTGCTAGAGGAGCCAACCACGGTAAATCCCTGCTTCTGCTGCTCACAAACAGGGAAAAACTGTGGTGGTGAGTGTCATCTGAGGGTGCAGTGACTATGAAATGACTTCAAGATCAGGAGAAAGGTTGCAAAATTATGCTGCAGAGCTAGGACTTGGGACTTCAGGAGAGCAGACTGTGGGACTTCAGGAGAGCAGACTGTGGCTTACTTAGGGAATTGCTAGGCAGAATCCCTGGGAAACTGCCAAGAGGGGAAAAGTGCCGAGGAAAGCTGGTTGATTTTTAAAGAAAACTTAAAGAGATTTCAAAACCAACTACCCCGTTATGCAAGAAGACCAGGGAGTTTAGCAGAAACTTGGCCCTGCTTGCCTTAGCAAGGAGCTTCTTGAAGGACTAAAATACAAAAAGAAAGATTGCAAGTAGTGGAAACATGGACAGGCAACAAAGGTAGAGTATCAGAGTTCAGACCCATAGTGATGAAATTAGGAAGGCCAAAGCCCAGCTGCAGATAAAACTAACACGGGACACAAAGGGTAAGAAGGTGAGTTGACACTGAATGGTAGAGCTTCTGTGCGGAGACACCTCTGCCAGGAGGGCCAGGACCTCCAGCGGTCCTCTCTAACCTCTGTAACAGTTTTCAGGAGGAAGTCTGCTCTTTTGAACAAAGAAAAAGAAAACCTGATGACTATACTTTTCATGAATCCACTGATTTTGTTCTCATTAAGGATATTGTGATTAGGGTGAACCAGGTTACTGAATATGGTATGAACCAGAATCCCCCTTTGGCATAATAGTGTTTATCACCATTAACAGTGCCTCATTTTGGAGGGGTTTACCTGCTTGCTGTTTTGGATTAAATTTCTTCCATTTTTTTCCCAGCTTCTGGGCAATGTTCACATTTCCTGTTTCCCTGGAGACACAGTAATAGAATTTATTGCCAAAGGCTGCACTGTTTCAAACTGCAAAGTTTGAGCATTTGAAAATTAAAATGAAATACAAATAGTTGCACGCTTTGACAATTGTATTTACTTCCAAACCACACGTTTCTTCCTGGGGAAAGTAATCTTTGCGGGTCTACTCTTACCGACGTCTTCTTTAGCAGGAACAGCTGCAGCTCTTGCGGGATGAAAATATCAGGCTAAGCAAGCTGGTGTGTAAGCTAAAGGCTCTGAACTGTTGGAAGCAAACCACTCAGAAGGCACAGCTCTCTGCAAAGCTTAGAGATGCTGAGAAGGTGATATTTCCCTACCATTTCATCTGTTATTAGTGTCTAATTTTCTGCAAAACTAATGGTCAGATTGGGCAGGCTCCCTATTATTCAGTGAGCCTATAGGAGCTCATGGTAACTGCAGATTTTAGGTAAAAATTCTAAACTTTTTCCCCTCTATATTAGGGGTATAAGGGTGGTCTTCAAATGTGAAGAGCGTGAGACAAATCCCCGATGCCTGCTTGAAGCAAGAATCTAGGAAGTATGAGTAGCTTATAGCATTCCTAATTCTGTGTTGACTCGGAAGACTAATTATGACATTGTATCAAAATCAACTACTTCACAACTGACTAAAACATATGAAAAAGAAGACAGGCAGACATGAAGTGAAAATGAACTAGACTGTTGGCTTGGGAGGTGGCTGAGGGTTTTTTTTTTTTTAATTGGTATCTGCTTAAACAAAGCAGAACGCAGCATGAGGTTTATAAACTTAATTACAGAAATACAAGATGAAGCACAAAAATGACTAAATTAAACTAAAGTGAAGATGGATGGAAAGAAAAGTGCCTCACTGCTTTAAATGAGGCTGATTAGAATGGAACAAACAGGTTATTGATTGTTATATAGGTTAATTAGCTGCACATGTCAAGCAAAGGAAAGGCAGAATGGATCATATTTGTTAACTTAAAAAGAGTGAAAACAAAATGGGTTTTGTGTGCTTGTTAATTTTAAACCCAAATAAAACTGGATGTGCATACACTTAGTTCAGTTATATCAGGGAGATGCTAAATCATTAGAATATTTTATTAAACAGATCAGTCAAAGATGGATTGAATTATTGCAAATTTGTGGATTTAAATAAGAAATAAGAGCTATCTTCACAGGATTTAAAAGCTGAAACTGAGAAAAATAAATGGGAAAATTTGGCTTTTTAAAATTAGAAACTAGCTCATCTTGCTCAGACAGAGCTTTCTTGTGTCTGACTTTGGAATGAACCTGAAGATCTAAGAACTTGTATTTCACTGTCCTCCACTCCAAGTGCAGAGGATCACGGACCTTGCTTTTTCCAGTTTAAATGGCTTGGAAAGGAGAGAGGGCTGCTAAATCTGTGCCTGACACAGTAACATGTATATACATATTTATGTTTGTGTTTAAAACAAACAAAAAGACCCTGCCCAGAAGGAAAACAAGCTTCATCACACACATTTTGAATTTAGAGATAATGAAGGAATAAACAGATTAGTAGATGGACAGGTCTTTCTAATGCATAAGAAAGATCAAGTTTTGCATTGCTCTGAGCTTGTTTGCACACAAGAACTTGAATTGTTGACATGTGAATATAATTAAAGATGTGCAGTTGTACCCATACGAAAGATTATCTTACGTTTTTCCCTCTAGAGGACCCTTCTTGTGCATCCTGTTCCCCATTTTGCCTTAAAAAAAGGTCCAGCCTTTATTAGAAAACAGGAACCATTCAATTTCACTTCACTAAAAACCTCAGAGATTCACCTTTCAAGAAACCCACTGCTATGTAAAAGACAGAAAATCACTGCTCTCATCATTGTTTCTCTTATGTACTTTCTGTTTACAGGAAGCTCTTCAAAACAAAAAAGAGTGTCTGAATGCTAAGATGATGGCAGAACAAGAGGTGACTTCGTTTCAGGATCAGCTCATGTCTGTAAGGAAAGCTCTTGCAAAATCTCGGGCAGACAATGACAAGCTAAAGAAACAGCTACATGAACAGGTATCTGAATTCAACAGGTCCTGATTCATCAGCGCACCAAGTTGAATTCTCCTCTCCATCTCACTTGCTTTAATGAGGATTTTGCCTACTGTTATTCTAGGAGAGAAATGGATTCAAAACTAACTGCATAATACAGTTACTGAAGCTGGATGTGTATTTTATGGCATTGAAACAATGTGTTCGCCTGAGTGTTTTCACCATTGCAGGTAGAGAGAACTAGGGGAAAAAACTAGCGTCTTGGATAAAGTTTGAGTCACGTACCAAAATGGCAGCTACAGGCACTACATTTATGTATGCCATCAACAGTGCTGGATGTATGTTTTAGTAGAGGAAAAGACACTATTAATATTTTATTCCACAGATGAAAAAAAATTAAATTACAGACCTTGAGGCTATTAGTCTTCCACCCAATCATTAAATTTCAAGGAAACATTCAGGGATGTTGTCATTTAATCCAGGACAAATTCATTGCATGTTTTTTTTTCCATCTGAACACCTTCATGGATATATCACTGCCACAGCAACCCCACTTTCACTTCTACAGATGACTACACATGCTAAAATGGCCCATTCCTCAAAGTCAAACATAAAAGCACACTCTTCACTTGCAATATACTTAATGCCAAGCAACATGACTGTATGGAAAATAAGTCTTGTCAAACCAACCTCATTTCATTCTGCTGATAAGATTACAAGTTAGATAGATAAACGTAATGCTAGACTTGTAATACACATTTGGAAGGGCCTTGTAACGCTTGGGTTAGCAGCACGTAACTTTTGTATTTTAAATTTTAGTATTACACAATATCGATAAAAATGCTAAATGGATTGAGAGCTAGATTTTTTGACATATAAAATGTGTTATTTTCATTAAATGAAGATGGTTTCTGATGGATTTCTACAGGAGTTGGTAGCATAACTATCAGTATTCAACATTTTTGTTAGTGGCTTGGAAATAAACATAAAATTATAGATTATAAAATTTACCAGTGACATATTTGGGGAGGAATGTTAGTGAATTTGATAAGGCACATTTAGTGAATAACGACGTGGGCAAAGCAGGAGTACAGAACCATACAGATAGCTCGGTAACTTGGTTGTCTCTCCGAGAAGTATTTCAGTGCCTGAGTAGATGAAGAACGAGAAGAAAGCAGGACTTGTACACAACAGGGTGACTGCATCCCTGGACAGGACAGGGGTCGTAACAGACAGATGACTGGCCATGTAGTGTGGTACTGGAAAGGATGGATGCTGCAATCTTTCCGCTTATAAAAAGGAGAATAGTGCAGATATATTAAAAATGAGTTTATAGCTCTATGTACAACACACTGAAATACTGCCGCTGGTTCCAGAGTGTACTACTTAAAAAAGATGAAGAAAAAATTGAGAGACTGCAGAGAAGAGTTACAAAAATTATTTGAGGGCTGCAGGAAATGCTTTCTAGCAGAGGGCTCTTAAAAGGTTCAATGTGTTTAGCCTATCTGAAAGAAGAGTGACTTGATTACAGTCTCCAGATATTTTTGTTGGGAGAGAATAGCAGATATTAAAGGGTTCTTAGTGAAAGGTATAACAAGAGGTGGTGCCTAGAAGTTGAGGCCAGACAAACCGAAAATGGGAAATTAGAAAAAATGTTTTCAAAATGTGATTAACTGTGGAAATGACAATATGTCTAACCAGCTTCAAGTCAAGATCGGATGCCTTTCTGGGAAAGCTGATTTAGCCAAACCAACTTGCTCATTCCAGTACAAGGGTAATTAAGGTAAATGTGATATTAAAAAGTCACATCTATTGGCTCGATTGCTTCATTCTGAGCTTAGCCATCTATGAAACTCCAACCTTAGTAAGGCTTAGGGGGATCCCCAGTGAAAAATGTTTGGGCTGTGACTGCTTTTAGCTCTTTGTGTTCAGATTTTTCGCCAGAGCAGAGTTGCCTTTGGCTGATAAATTGGTTTTCTTCACTGACAAGGTGTCAATTTACTTCCAAAAGACCCACTGCATCTACCATCTTTCTAGCGGATGTTTTTGTTGTTTTGTTTTTCTTTGGTTTCTGACATCAACTTCTGGTTCCTTCTCTTCTTCCTAATTTCTTTCCTTGCTACAGATTGTGATGATGGTGTTTACAAACAGCAGACTCCATTCCACATCCCTTGACTGTACAGGAGGGTTTGACCTGATATGGGTGGCTTGTAACACCATTGCATTCAATTGTGGTACAGATTCTAAAATGCGGCCATACTTACTGGCTGTCTCTACAAACGGTGTATAAACAGCAGTGTTTGAAAAAGCTGTGCTCATTTCCCCCCTCTCTTTCCTTGTTTATATGTTGTTTTAAAAACAAGTTCCACATGCAGACCAGAGGCTGGTTGCAGAAAGCAAATTACAGCAGACTGAGGAAACTGGAAGCAACTGCCTTCTTGTTTATTTGCAACTGAATGAGTTCTACACATGAACGTTGTTTTGAGGCTTCTCTAACAAGCAACGATGTAAATACAGCATTCTGTTCCCACTCCCCCTTACCCTTCCCCTACGCGCCCTGCTCCCACAGCCCAGATTTTATTTTGGGTTTAGGTCTGACTGCAGTCCTTTCATAAGATCATAGGATAATTCAGATTTGTTTACCAACATTTCATTACCTTCAGTACCAAGCCATGTGGGATTGGGTCTCTCCTCGTTCAGCTCAGCTAGGCATGATGTCTGAGGACCGGTCATCAGGGTTTAAAAGGAAATCTAAAAAGGTGTGTATGGGAATTGGAGGAAAGCAAGCTAAGTCTGAAACTTTCATGATTGCATGTTGTAGAAACAAATGCTGTTGGAAGTAGTACAGAGGAAGACACAAGAAGCCAAGAAGAGACAAGTACCCAGTGCGATGAAAGCTGAAAACATAAAGAAGATGCTTGAAGGGATGGAAGAAAAAGAGCAGAGAGTGAACTGCCTAACCAAGGAAGCTGAAAAATCTTCTAAAACATGCCATCTTCAACAAAAAGGGGTCAAAAAAGAACTGCAGCAGGTAAACTCATAATGCAGATTTGAAAAATAAAAACAGTAGCATTTCTGGAGAGATGTCTCAAGTTTTAACACTGTCTGACCGCATCTGAGTGTATCCCTTCAAGTGTCTGAACTTCAGAACTTCACTGTAGCTCTCCAAGTGCTCTGGATGAGGGTCTTGCAGCATGAGCCCTGGCACTGTTCTGGGCCCTGCCTGCTGGGGGCTTAGGGTCGTGTTCCACCTGTTGGTGGCATCTTGTGTTTCTGATGCCTCTCAGGGCCTTCCTGTTGAGCCTGGTTCAGTATCTTTGCTCTAGAAAGTGAATATTGTTCTCCTTATTCTAGAGGTAAACCGCCTAAGAGTTTGCGTAAGGCGCTGGGGCAGTGGGAACGGGTGTGCGGTGCTAGACAGAACATGCTTGCACCCCTGGGGGGATCAGGGGGTGCAGCAGCTAGAGCAGCAAGCGGCTGGGCTCAGTGGCTCTGGAGGCTTCAGCCAGCTGCGCATCCCCTGTTGGGATGTCCCCCAGGCCTCTGCTGTAACCGCCGCCCTTGTCACCAGACTAAACAGGGAGCTTTGGAGCCTCACTCAGGCTCTGCCTCCCTTCTGGGGCCACATTCCTGGGTCGGCAGTGCCTGTCGCTTTCCTGGCTCTCCCTGTGACATAGCCCAGGCAGGGCTTTGACACCAGTGCTGCAGAGCTGACAAACTGCTATCCTTTTGCTTTATCTACTCTGCATTTGACATAAACCCTCTGCCCTTACCTCTGTTTCACATACATTACACCACTTTTTCCCAAATTCTGGACTACCAAATGAACGTATTGGGAAGGAAACTGCTTTAATCCAGTCTGGCCACAGAAACGGCATTAGTTTTCACTAAACTGATGCCATTGTACTCTACTGTATTGAGTTTAAACCTGTTACTGCATTGCTAATCATTTAGTGTAACTGAGTAACCAGATCCACTTTTAAGATTATCTCCCTATAAAAGGGGCTGTATGTAGAGCTTTAACTACTTCAATTTAAAAACTGATTTGGCCAAGTAAACACAATCTCTGTGTTTAGCGCAGCTGGTAGAGTGGGCTCTTGGCTGTGAAATGTGCAGTGTTTCTTTTGTAGTGTAGCCTGCGGAACACAAAATTGTTTGGCAACCACTTGATTAGACTTTGACTGGATGGATCCATCTACTAACTGACAACTTTGCTGCCACTGAAGTCTCCTTGCCCTTGCTTTCTTGGTCTAGAGAGAAAAAAGCTTTGTAAATGTATCTGAATGCCTCTCCTGTAAACCAAACAAAGTATATTCTGTCTTCAATCCTCTAAAGCATCAAGGTGAAAGCATGGGCTGTTTGTCTTCCAGAGTCAGGATGACAAATGCCATTCTGCTGGGAATAATTTCTCAGGCTGCTGGCATGTTTTCTAACCAAAATCGTATGAGAGACTTTTACACAGCCAAAGCAGTTGGTGCAGACACGAGACCACTGATTTCATTGGTGTCTGTCTTTGATGGGGCTCTGAACTGTTCTGCTGTGTTTACAAAATAACCCTTCAAGAGACCAGAGATGCCAACAGCTGGATCAGCCTTTGAGGAGAGCAGAAAGGAAAATGGCAACTGCAGCGTGCAGGCTTTTATTGCCACACAACAGTCCCAGCTGCAGCTAGCACCTATGTATGAGGTCATTAACACTAACAAACTCTATATTTAAACTTAGTAAATTACAGAGTCTGTTAGAGAGATGAGGGAAGAGCTGCTGTTTTTTCCACATACCTCTGCCCTGAAAATGGAGGTAGGGTCTTGTCTAATTAGGGTTACATGCAGAGAACAGTGAGAAAAGGCCTCTGTATTGTTTTTATTTTACTCCAACAACGCCTGAAATGCAGATTCCTATTAAACGAGAATGTCAATTTGCACTGTTTGTGTATTTTGCATTCAGACGGATTATGGATATGTTTAGCAAAGCTGTAATTACGGATTATTTCAACCAGCAAGAAGTGATGGCCTCTCATTCACAAGAGCGCACAGGGCAACATCTTTTCCTTTAAATCTAGGCCCCTGCTTTGAGGCAGAGCTGTCAGATGATGAATTTTTGTTGCTGCCATTAATCCTTTTACCACCTTTAGATAAGAAGCCAGTTAACCCAAGAGTGCAGTTTAAAATGGGAGGCCTTCCAGCAGGTTGATGAACTGCAGTGTCAAGTTTATGACCTGGAAGCTGCAGTTTCTCAGAGGAATGCAACTGCAGGTAAAGACAGGTTGTGTGTTGTAACCCGCTTTCTTGGGGAAATAAGTCTTATGAGCTATGCGTCCATGTCTCTGAATCCTTCCTTAACCTTTGAAGCAATAGGCAACTTAAGCCAAATATGAAAGAGAAGACCTCCTCTGTAATGAAAGCATTTAGGTAGAGGAGAAAGACCTAAAACAGACTTGAGGAAAAATCAGACAACTCAAAAGCCATATGCCTTCTTATACCGCAGCTGCTCAAGCAGCACAAGAAACACTGACTCCCAAGGTAATAACTTTAAACAATAACTTGTGTTGTCTTTTGCTTTGTAGGGATATCATGGGAAATATGAGGGGAGCTGCATTTAGGGGAGGAGGCAATTAGGCAGCAAAGGGTCCCAAGTGGTAGGAAATCAGGCTTCATTAGTGGCTCTGGTCTTGGAACAGCTTACTTACAAATCATGCGGGGCAGCCAAAGAAGACTCTACCCTTGTAATTTGATTAGATACACGCCTATGATTGCAGGTATTTTTAGAGGATCTCAAAACAGCAGTGAGAGCTTTCTAGCCCTTAATTAACCTGGAACTTAAACCTTTAACAAAAACCTTTCTTTTCAGCTGTTTGTTAGGTAACTTTTTAACGTAATGCTTCTGTAATTCAGGTAGCTTAAAAAGCTTGATTAGGGATTTCTACTCCTACCTGCCTGAAGTTGCTGCTTTCCTCTGTGGTATCAAAATCCTACTGTCAGTCTGACAAACGCATGCAGAAAAATTGATGGGTGATACCTAAATTCCTAGTAAATTAAGTAAACAGGAAAAAACTCCAACGATCTTTCGAGGTGCATTTCTATGCCATGGAGAATATAAAGTACTACAAATTTAATTATAGTTTCCTTCTGCAGGAAAATGTTAGTTATTCCTGCCACAGGAAACTGAGAAACGCTCATTAGCACACTGCTGAAGACAGGACACGAACCAAACATGGGGAAATAAAGAACAGGGAGGTATCTTTAATTAATGCACAAATGTACTTGGTTTCTCTGGCTTTAAACCAATCAAGTTCAGGGGAAAAGTTGGTACAAAATTTGTAAGTCACATTGATGCTACTGAGCACAAGGAAAGCATCTGCGACAGAAAGGAGATGAATTATTTTTTTTTTTCCTGCAGTGAGTTACCATTGTTAAACATGATGCAGAGCTGGAAAAATTGGCTGAGGAGCTTGGATTTCTCTACGCTCAACATAGGAGCGCCATCAAACTATAGACACCTAGTCTGAAATGTGTTAAAACTCTGCAATGTATTGTAGCTACCTTTTTACTTGTGATTTTTTTATTCCTATGTCTGTAATAGTAGATGGACGTTGTGAGGTTTGGTGGTTTGGGTTTTTTTATTCCTTTCAAAAAGGTAGAAGGAAGACTGCAGAGCTGTTGTCCCGTAGTACATGCAGTATAAGAAGCTGTTTTCCAGGTAATAAGTCAATATTAAATAGCTATCATTTTTGATGCATTAATACTAGTACTTCTCATAAGGCAATCCAGACTTGCATCACTTAAAGATTTGTCTTTTCTATTAATCTGAGTTGAACTGTGCCACTAACCTGACTTCAGACCTACAGCATTTGGCCAGACCTATTTGCATAGGTGTGGCAACTGTTACTTGCAGTAGCCCTGTTTTGACTGTAAAGGCAAAGGTGTTTTTGAAACAGGTCACGTCAACTCCAGGAATTGCCCACATAGACTAAGACTTCGGCCAGTTTGTAAGAATAATCTGTAGAGTAGCAGTCTGAGCTATGTCCTCTAGCTTTGTCTCCGTTCCTTCTCCCCCATCTTCACATATTCCTCTTCTTCCCTCTCAAATGCACTGAGCCATGGCTTGTCTCAGTAGCGTAAAACAGTTGCTGCATTTCTTTCTGGGTTCGTGTGATGCTTGTGCAGTCAGTCCTGTCAAGTCTCTGCTTCAGAATGCACAGACGCTGAACGCAGTCTGACCAGACTGGGTAGTTGTGCACCCTGGGCAGCTGCCAGCTGCTCTCCTGCTGCTTCAGCAGAAGGCCAGAGTCCCTTGGACATGCACCCTGGTATAATGCCAGAAACAGCTAAGCAATGCGGTCTGAAACATCTTGGATAATATCTGAGAAGGAGGAAGAACACTGTCTCAATTAACAAGTGCAGGATTACAGCTACACAGCAAAAATACCCTCACCTTTTTACCTGAAGTTAGTGGGAAAGGTTAACATAGGGTTAAGAAGTGGTATAGCAACACCACGTTGTACACAGACACAAATCAGGGCTAAATCACATTATGGCTGATAGCAAGCATAGCATTTGATGCAGTGGGGATTTTTTTTAGTGGCTGAAGGGTTGGCATTAAGTGGCTGCCTCTCTGCTTTTCAGAAATCTACAAAGATGAAGACTGGAATTCACTAGGGACTTTAGTGTCACTGGGAACAGATCATTAACACACACCCACCCCTTTTAATCTTGGTTTTCAACAAGACTGGGAAAGACATGAGTTGTGGGGAAAACAGTCACGTATAATGAAGTAGACTTGGGGCAGCAAGAATTTTCTGCTTCACTAAGATGTTTCCTGCTGGAGGAATAAATGCTGATACACTCATTACTATGAATGAAAAGGGCACAGGGTGAGCTGCAAAAATTGCAGATAGTTGCAAATAGTTTTTGTTCTACTTTGTGTCAAGATCATACATGAACCACTTTTTCCAGACCAAGCAATCTATTATTCTATTAGTACTATGCTGAGTGTTCACAACTTGCTTTGGGTTGGTGGGTTTTTTTTTTTCTTTTCCCCCTAACATTCTGCTTAGAGGTCAGAAACAACAGCTTTCGCATTTACTTGAGTTCTGCTTTAACTCTGTGTTGTTGATAACACTCCAGGTTCTGCAGCTCAGATCCAGAGTAACAAGCTTTCAGGATCCACTCAGCATGGGGATTACCAGCAGCATCCTTTGAATTTTGACCCAAGAAGCAGCAATGGAACAGGAGGAAACACTCAAAGACAGTAAGTAATGGTGGCATTGGTAATAAGCTAATATGGTTGCAAAATGAGCAACTTTTTTGCTAGTTTGAAAGCTGTGATTTGCATATATACCCAGGCAGGTTTCATCTGGACAGTAAGTCAAATCCCTTTGAAGATTTATCTTTAAGAGCAAGGTGACCAGTATGTATGGCTAGCAAACAGGAAAAAACATGTTCTAAATGTTCCAAAAATTGACTAAGGAAAGGGGGCAGGAAGGAGGTATTTAGTTAGCAATGGTCCAGGAAAGTTTTGTTGTTTGTTTGGGTTTTTTTGAGTACCATGCCATGGTTGGTGACTTTTTTGTATGTTACTTATGTTTCAGGTGCCTAGCAGATGGAAGGAGAGAACAGCAGATAGGCTATTACCACACCTAAATGAAAAGTCTCTTTCTACTGTCTTCATGCAGCTACGGAAACAAAGGCTGGTCTAGAAGTAAACCTAAATGTATTTTCAATCAGTCCAGGGCATTTTAGAAAACGCTACTGAACTGGCAACCTTTAAGTAAGAGAAGAACAATTTATATACAAATCAAAGAGAGGCAGTAATATTCCAGTGCTGTGCATAGGTACTTCAACATATTTGGATGCAGTGTTCAATACCAGCTCCAGTCAGTTAATCTAATCCATTTTAGGCACTGGGTGATGCAGATCCTCCTTCTGAGCAAGAGCAGCACTGCACGTCCTCCCTTCACAGACAATGCAGCACAGTACAGAAAGGCAAGGATATCAGTCAAAACTAAAAGGCTTCCTTTTATTGTGGTAACCTTGGAACATGGTGGTGCAAAGCACAGCTAAATGCTTAGAGCAAAAGCACTGGGTCTGGTGTTTCGTTGTTTTTTGTTGTTGGTTTGGGTTTTTGGGGGTTTTTTTGGTTGGGGTTTTTTTGTTGTTTTGTTTTTTTTTTTTTTTAAAAACTGCTTTCCTATTGCAACCCCTGACCACCACATCCTGCCCAATGCAGTGCTCTCACCCCCAGGGGTTGCTGCCTGTACACTGAACCTTTCATGCCTGTTTAAAGATGACTCATCAAAAGTGTCAGCGTCTCCACCTTGCCCAGCACCTTCTCTCCCCACCACCTAGAAAAGGGAAGAAGGGCAGCTCCTTGCACAATGCTACACTAACTAGAATAAAACAAAAAAAATGCATAAGTTTATCTACATTTCTCTTGCATGGAAAAAAGCTTGCTTTTATTGCCTAGCCAATAAAGGACTCAAAGTGGTCTTTCAGAGATATGTCAAATTGTATTGCAGCTTTTGATGAGTTAAAAGGCACATAGGTTAGTATTCTAGCATCATCCACATCCCTGGATGCTTGTGAGCATAAATAATCAATCAAATACCTCAGTACTCTTTTTATAAATTACTAAGACCTAGAATTAAATTCAGGCAACCCTTAACAGCATTGCATTGGCTGAACGCTGAATAAAGAATTCTAACTTCTGTTAGAAATGCTGCAGTATTTAGAGATAGAGGATTCCTAGAATAAGGCTGATATCCTTCACCATTACTGAAACAAGCTTTATTTCATTCAAGCTTACTGCTACATCAAAACAAGTCACAATATACTCAGAATGCTGTGGAATCAGTTATCAAATAACATGAGTTCTTTTTAAGGTATGCCTTAAATGAATGACTGATAAGGTGACTGATAAATATCCAAGGTCAGCTGTCACTGGAGAAGCCATCAAATGTGATTCTAGCACATTCCAGGAACCAGATGCCAATTTGGAAGTAGAACAGTATCATCAGTATGAAGCACTTACGTGCCACTGCAGCAGTAAAAATGAAAGGGCTGTCTCAGGCTCATTACAGCTTCTCGATAAAATACTTCAACTTAATACAGCAAAATTCAAAGATGATTTTTGAATGAATACTCTACCTACACAAGACTATCTTCAAAGAACAGCAGTAACACAAGACTGGTACTATAGTGATACAATTGTGCATAGGCTTTCAGTGCTGCATCATAACAAAAACTTCATCAGTCCTTGATGGCATGCAGTAAATGGATTTTCTGGAAGGCATAGCAATTTTAAGCACATCAGGAAGCTCTAGGTTTCCTCCATTTCCATACAGCCTTTCCAGAATCACTACTGAAGTTTTTGCAATTTCCCGTAACATGAGATGAGTTACGCCAATACTACCTAGTGACACATTCACACTTCTTTTGCTACCCACAAAAGCATCAAGGTCATGATGTGAGACTGCTGAGGTTACTTCACTCAGAGCTGGTTATCATTTTAGTCAGTCTGCAACTACAGAATTGCACACCCTCTGTTCCCTTGTTCAAGCATACTGACAGTTATGCCCTAGCAAATATCCTCCTCTTTCTCACGCAATCAGGAAAGAAATAAGGCTCAGAGCAATACCTTTTTCCATGAAGGTCAAAGATCTTAACGTGAAAAGATGCTACAATGTAGGGGTTATTAACAGCCTCCCTGGAACCACACACTGCAGTCCCTCTTCCACCTTATAGGCTGACACCCAGTATTATAAGCTTTGCTATTGGGAAGAGGAGCATTAAGCCTTACAGGTTGTTGCAAGTGGAACACTTAATAAATGCCTTGCTGTTCTTTGGCTTTAAGGGGAGAACAGGGTTAAACTAACATGGAAAAGACCTAAATGAGAATTCTTTTGGAGACGATTCTAAATCTGAATCGGTATTGTTGCACACACCAAATGCAAAGTTAACACTGTATTTAGGAAAGCTAACTTAACTCTTCAAACCTTTCATTCTCCCTCTTTCCCTACAGTGTTTCTCAATTCCTATGGAAAACAGCTCTTCTCTCCAGAAAGTCAGCAGACAGTCCCCTCTAGGATTGCTCACATTAAAGAAAGTTTACAAGTAAAATTCCATTCAACAGATTTTATTTATCAATTTGGTTTTGCGATTACAACTGTTTCAGTTTTCTTCCACTGAAGACAAAATACAAACTTTTACAGCAACACTTGCAGAGAACATTCATAAGATAACAGCTTGATATTTGCACAAGTTGGCTTCAAGAAAAAGCCAGATAACTTGAAGTCACTACAGTTCAGTGCCTAAGATTGATTAAGGGGCAAATACAACTACAGATCTATGAGCTACCTTCCACTTCAAAACACAAGGCCAAGAAAAACTGGAAGTTGTTACTTCAGGTTTTTTGCTAGTACACAGCACAGATCAGCTGATACTGCCATTTCACAAAGGAGTAATTACTTTCTATAGTGAGGCAGCCAAGCACATGGTGAAGATGTATAACCCAGCCTCCCCTCCTCCCAAGCAACTGAAAGGGAAACAATCCGAGCCACAACTCTGTAAACTGTGGATTATACCTTGTTGGCAAGGCTAACGAGCAAGCGGAGCATAGTGCAGGCCTTCCAGAACATGACTAAATTGATATAGTACACACTTGAGTTTTTCAGACTGGCATCTGTACATGTCAGAGATCCTGGGTTTCCTAAAGTCTTGGAAAGTAGCAATTGCTGGCACCAAGAAAAATTTAATAACTAAGGCAAGGTATCCCTTCTACCCTTTTAAACAAAATTTGAGGCAAAAGATTAAGCAACTTTAAGGCACTTTAAAAATTACTTTTAGTTTGCTTTACCAGCATACTTTATCAGCAACCTAAATCAGGATCAGCATAGCTCATGAATAAGCATTTTAGCAACACTTTACAGAGCAACAACTTTTTTGTGGCAAAGTCTTCCATGCTAGGAAGTGTTCTGTAGCACTTTTCTGCAAGTTTCCCAAAAGATAGCCCTTTGAGGCCAAAAAAACTACACACTAGGCATACAGTTTGCTTTGCTGAGCTGAAGGAAAACTCTGTCACAATTTAGAAGAGTGTTTTGCTCACTTCAAAGCACAGAATACAAGCTCATGGATATCTTTTTAAACAAATAAATGTAATAAAATAGTTCCGAGATAGGGAAAGGACAGATGAAGTGATTTCACAATAAGGCCAAGGATATACTATCTAACCCACACACACACTGTTGCTGGAAACTGGCTGCTCACTCTGCTGTTTTAATAAACCTGAGCTGATTGTCTTAGTTTTGTTTAGAAAACCAAAAGCTAATGAACTCAAAGATACAGTACTGGTGAGTAACTTCGGTATTTTGTAGCAATTTCAGTTTTCTATGCAGCACAATAGAAACAATGCCATTCAAACTAGAAGAACACAAGAAAGCAACACTGTGTACTTTAAGTTTCCAACTGAAGTGCACTTAATTTGCTTCATATTTAAGTTCCACTGCCATGACTATTATCTGCATTAATGCTATCATTTTGTATTGGGTGCCAAATTCCAGTCAAGTCAGAGCTAGTAAGACAGTTCTACAGATTATCCTGAAACCGATGATCAAGGAATAGCATCAAAAGCTATGTATGTATTATGTGCTACATCCACCACTTGATTTTATCTTTACTGCCATTTTTCCTGTGGGTTTATTTTCACAGGTGCTCAAGTCAATCTACATTGGCGATGACATACCTTTGATACTCAGATCACATGGCTGATCCAGCCAAGGGGAAAAAAAAAGAGAACACAAAAAACCAACTATTTGGCCAAAGAGATTTCCTTAACCAGTTCACTGCAGGGTGACACAAACCTGAAGCCAGGAAGGAGGGAGGGGAAAGAAAAAAGGTGTAGCCCTGGCAGCCCCAGGACTACAGCAATCCTGACTAGGGTCGAATCAGCAGATCCTCTGAACTACCCTTAATTGCTACTTCAGCAAGCAGACATACAGGAGGGTAAAAAAGAAAAAACCCAAACCCCGAAGTTAATTGCGACGAGTTTAAGAACCATTTGAATAAGAAAAACCTCAGGATTTCCCAAACACCAGTATTTCAAGTATAAATGTAAGCTGTTGCCTTTTCATACAGGGAGTGAACTGAATTTTATCACTAGTTTTATAGTTGGTCTTTGTAGGCCAGAACAAAAGGTAAACAACTTAAAGCTTCTGTTTGTAGCTGAACATTACTGTACCATGCACCCTCACCCTCAAACAAGGTCAATAAGGGACAGTTGTAAAAAGTTTTTAAACTGGAATGCTCAAGTCACAGGTATTCCATTCTCTGATATAAAGCCAGTGCTTAATAGTTTTATTTATCTTTGAGATAGGTGAGACGCTTTTGCAGCCTACTGATTTTTAGTCTTTTAAGGCACTAATCTTCATTTCCCTTTTAGAAGGATTATCCCTACATCCCCTCTCAACATTAATTGGAAAGGGCACAGGATTTCTATTTGGAATGCGGTATTTTATCAGGCAACCTTTATTCTTGTGAAAAAAATTTATGGGTTATGTTATTCTGTTAAGACATTATCTACTTCTACAATTTTGTTCATCTTTCTAGCAGCACGCTATAAGAGCCACAAGCTAGTATAAATGGTATTTCACTCCCTGAAGTCAGTCACCCATAATTCACATCTTGATAAAACTGAAGGGATACTGTATCAAATGTTGATTAAATTAGCCTTCACAATAAGTCATCATGAGATTGTCTACTCAAGACAGTGTTGCCACTGAATAAGAATCTCTAAATGTCTACATTTGGCATATCAAAAAAAAAAAGTCCCACAGCAGCAGCCACTAAAGGAAAATAAGACAGCCATTAGAACCCATGCAGCATATTGCAAGTAATCCTGTTGAAGAGATTCGTATCACCTCTTGCCAAGTATAATGTTGCAAAAATATTCTTTTAAAGTCTTCTTTTAGAGATTTAAAGGATATGAACTGCTGTCTTCCACGAGCAACAGAAAATATTTTGGTTCAGTGAACTACAGGTGTTGGGCTACTAGTCCATTATAAAGTGGCAGGTCCTAAAGTGTGTGGTAGTTTCGGTCTTTCGACCTGCAGAATTTGTACAGAAAGAAAACAACAGCCTGCAGACCCAGAACAAGGACAATTCCACCTATGAAACTTGCAGCATCAAATGTAGATTTGCGTGAAGAAGGTGCAGGAGTCACAGTAGCATTTGTACCTGTTAAACACCACATTAAGAGTTTGTGAGTGCACAATGCTCACAATAGTTTTACAGATTTTAGTATTGGCTTCCTTGTATTAAGATTACTCAAAACATCCAAACACCAATAAGAAAACAAAAAATAATCAAGAGTAAAGACATGTCAGCAGCCACATTTAGATTAGTGATACTGAAATTCTGATTAAATACTGTTTGTACAAGGCTAGAGCTATTATAACCAAACTGCTCCAGACCTCAATACTGAGCAAGTCCCAGCTGGACTTTATTTGTACTTCAAAAACCCAAAGCTTTCCTCCTTTACATAGAAGTATATTGATATGCTCACATTCAAAACACATTTTCCAATCTCTGCTGCTTGCTACAGTTTTTTGCTTAAATTAAAATTAAATTATCTTCTATCTACTGTACTTTACCCCAAGAGTCATGCTTAAAGAAATCAGCTGAAGCCACAACACATATGAATCTGGAAGTAACAGCCATCTGCTGATGGCTAGTTTTACACAGCTTTACTTCATGAGAGCTTTTCATGAAATAGCATATTCAGGACTGATGCCGAAAAAAAATACTTCGGCTTATTCCCATCACTGTAGCCCAATCTTTTTTTTTTTTAATAGGTATCCCATTATCATGCTGCAAGTGAAAAACAAAATACCACCTCCCAGAGATAAGTGAGTTAACAAGTGACTTCCAGCCACACTATTAAAAGCAGCCAGCTGATTTCGTTTGACCAACATGTTTCTGGCTTTTAATATCTCACCAACTAGCTCTGTTTCTCAGGGTATTACCTTGCTACATATATACATCACCTTAACAAAATTAGACATGCCATAAAGTTAGAAGTGACAACAGCAGATATACCAATACTATTTTAATGTTGTCACTTGGTAAGTCTTTCAAGATAACTCTTTTAAAGCAACACTAATTTCTAAGTATTTGATGCTTTAATTATGCTAGTAAGTAGCAGTTACCTGGAATACTGGTTGTTGTGGTGGCTGAAGTAACGGTAGTTGTAGGTAGAGGAGCATGTGTAGTTACATCGGTGATGTTAGCTGTTTGAGAGAAGACAATATGTACATACCATAAGCTTCAAGAGCAAAGTTTGCAAGCACTGAAGTTCTCATGTAAATGATTTGTCTTGTTTTGCTTAAACAAGGATAAGCTTTGACCTCAGACTGTAGCCCACACAATTCAGATGTTCAGCTGCACAGCATTAAGCCAAGTTTCTGCAATAAGGACTTTTTTTTTTTTAAACATGCATACCATTGTTATCCAAATATTTCAAGGTTCTCCACAGATCAGACAGTGATTCTTTGTTCAGCCAAACCCACTTTTCTTTCAAGCACTAATATAAATGCTGGTATCTGAACAAGAATCAAGACAGCTGCTTCAAGACAACTGAGAATCTGCATCAAGGCAAAAGACTTTCATTAGACAGCCCTTAGAATCAGTTAGTGTTTATTGTACTAAAAAAAAGTACCTAATGTAGTATCTCTAGACAGGAGATAAACACTTACAGGATAGCAAAACTTCCTCTTTTCTCCCCCTGTCCCCAAAAACTAACTGTGAATGACATCACTGGAATAAGCAAACACTCACCTGTAGCTAGACCATCTCCTAAAAGCTCTTCCATTATCAAGCCAGAACACTGGGTCTCTGACCACCCCCCTCAGATTAGTACTACTAAAAATTAATCAGTATTCCACTATGTGCCTGGGACAAGTGCCAACGTTTGTAGGTTTACTCAACTACTGTACATTAGGCTGTTCTGAGCCTAATCAAATACCAACTTGTTACCTCCCAGCTCCCTTAAGCAGCAGATGCTTTTAGAGATTTTTTTTTTTAAGAACTTCACTGTTAAGATGGCAGCACATGTAAGAACAGAAATTTTTTTGTTGTTGTTGCCCAGTTCACACTCATAAGACCTCATAATTAGTGGAAATGACTAATCTAATTCAAACAATTACCACTGAGCCAATTCTTAATTATATGGGAAAGAAGCATTTTCTCTGTTAGCGTTTTATAAAATCCACTTCTTCCAAACCTTGGGACCATTTATGTATTCCATACATCAGATGTTTTGTAGTTATGCTACTCCAGTGATCTGTGGAAAAAGCCTTCGTCCTTTATTTTATTCACCAGTTCCTAGTTTACTGCCATTCTGTGTTCAGTGGTACTATATTACCTATAGTAGTATGAGCTGTGGTAGCAGAACTGGCTGTGGTAGTATTGGAAGACGCTGTGGTAGTATTGGCAGGTGGTGTAGTAGTATTGGAAGACGGCGTAGTAGCACTGGAAAGAGGAACAACTGTAGGAACTACAAAAGAATAAAGAGTTACATTAAAGAGATTAATGACAGAATTTAACTAAAAAAAAAAAGGAACAGCAGCAGGATGAGTTTTAGGGAATTCATATAGCATCGAGTTCTACTGTAGTTTTGGTTTTTATTACAAAGCAGTTGAATGTTCAAACCACCATGCTAACAGCAAAAGTTGCACAAGTGAATACATGAAAAACCTTGTCACAGGCAGCCCAATCAAGCCAGCGTTCAACTGGCAACTCAAGATTCCTCAAAGCAAACAGAAGGGAGAAGAGTCCTATTGTACAAGCACAAACTGTGCATGCTTTACACAACAGGAAACTAGGTATTCAGTACTGCTTCCCAACCTCACTGCAACTAAAATTGAACCTGACCTATCAAGTTGAACTAGAAATCAGAGTGGTTAGACAGCTGAAGCAGTATGGGGGGAAAACCAAAACATCCTCAAGAATTTGAAAGTTTAGCTAAAGCTTTCTGTTCTGAGAGCTGTTGCTGGTTGTAGGTGCTCTCAGCTTCAGCATGTGCTGTAAAAAAAGCTGTAAAGCCTTCTGCAACTTACTGTGTTAGCTGAGTTAATCACACATGGACAGCTTATCTAAACTGTTGCTTAATCATACACTGATACATCAGCAAGCTTCCTGCTGAAATACCATTATGTCCAGAAGCCTTTAATGCTCAGGGTCATTTAAATGTGGTTATTTACATCTTGAAACAATTCAGCATGGTGGGAAACCAGAGCCAACTGTTTCTACAGAGATAGGCTGGATATAGCAGAATCTACATTCTCTCAGGTCCCACGTGCATCAAGTCAGTTTAGGTCCACCTTAACGTTTTTCCATGTCAATCCCCAAACGTAGTGCTGAGCCATGACACTGAGCTGCTAAGGTATACAGGTTCCTCTCACACCACCAAAGATCCCCTACTAAAGGTGACAAGTTTCCTTGAATATGCAGAAGCTAAAACACAACAACCTGATAATGTCACTACAAGTTTAACAGGAACAGATTGTAGAAATTCTACTCTTAGATATAGAACAAGGCATTGTGACAGCATGCTCTCTTTGGAAAGCACTGAAAAATGGTACTTTTAACACTCCTGATTAAGAGGCGATTGTTACAATTTTAGAAACAACACAGAAGTCCAAGTCAAGCGGAATTACTTGACTGGCTGCCACCACCACAAGATAAGCCCATAGCAGCATGGAAGCTTCATCTCTGTTAGTGTGAGCCAGCCTCTTCAGCAGCACTGTTGAACTCATCTAGAGAAGAATATTAAGAATTTTCATTTGCTGTTCTAGATCTTAAAACCAGAAAATCTTATTTTAAAGTCCATTTCTTGTCAGCTTTCAGAAAAACTAAAATTGGGGGGCTTTCACAAAAGTGAAATTCAAGATTTAATCAAAATTGTTCATATCCTGCAAATCCGCTTTGCACAGCAAGCACAAATTAATGAAAAGACTGAACTAGATATGCAACTGAGCACGTTCCTAGCATGAAGGATTTACCTCACGCAGTTCTATAGCCCAGACCCTGCACTTCAGGACTGCATGAAGAGCTGTGCTAGTTAACAATTCAAACCAGAAGGTTCGTCAGTTTTTCCTATTTACTGCATCTCAGATGAAGCAATGGACTTAGCAGGTGAAACTTTTTACATTGAATATGAAGCTTACTGTCTTGAGGATGCTGACAAGCTCCTTAGTATATGCTGTATCTAATAGGAAGCGTCATCCATTTTAATCTAAGAAACCAAGGCAGTAGCCAGAGGCACGCGTCTAGTAACATGTCAGGCTTCTTGAAACAGCAACAGTAAGCAGTTAACTGAATGCACAACGAAATTGTGTTTTAATATTACATATCATAAGTTTAGGCCAGAAGAAGAGGGCTTATTTACATACCTGTACATGCTTATGTAAATTGTAGAAGGCATATTAACAAAGGTCAACAGATGAAGGAGTTGTAAACGCAACTGCTTCACATTAAACAATGTGAAAGCTGAACATCTAAATACTTACAAGAACACTGTTCTCCAATTGTACAGTTGTGATATTTCACATCTACTTCTGTTTCATTTACACACATGTCTTCTGTCAGAAAAGAGACAAAAATATTTACAGCAGCAGAACTTTAAAGTGTTTGAGACATTGTTCCTAAATACTGACAAACTGTTCATAGGACAAACAAAACACCATCTTTCTAGCCAAGATAACATTAAAGCCACTTCAATATGCAGGACTTCAGTATTATATTAATAAATAGAAATTACAAAAGTTTTAGTATTTTCTTTCACTACAGTTACTCTACCACTCAAATCAACACTTAAGCAATACTTATACATGGTTATGCACCATTTTGCAGTAACAGTATAGCTTGATATTTTTTCTTCATAGCCTATAGACAGTGTTTCTACTATTTGTGGCATTTTTCAAGTTAAACATTTTGCATCTCTATGGTAACATCATAAAAAAAAAGTCTGTCTTAAAATTCTAAATACAAGTAAAACTTAGTTCCAGCTTTTCAAACAGATCCTTGACCTTGAAATTGTTGAAGACATCAGTTTCTTACTCTCTGCCTGCACTCTCCCTTGACTCAGATTTCAACCTCTCCCTCAAAGAAGTTACATAGATCTCTTGGGTGTTTGCAGTATGTGCCTGTTGGTCAGACAACACATGCAGAATTCAGAAAAAGAGCTTCTTAAAGGACACTCTTGTACTGGACAAGTTACATCCAAAATTCTTTTCATTAGTTCCGAAGCATCTTAGCCTTCACATATAACCTTCTTGGTCATCTACAGTCAAGTGCTACAAAAATCACTATTGCAGTCAAGCCACTCTCCTCTTTATCCTGTTTCCACCTCACATAAGTAGTACAAATAATCCACCTGAGGACTACTTATGTAGTCTTTGTATGACTTTGTCAACAGCAACTTTACCTCCTCCAGGACTGAGTACCAGAGGTCACCCAAATATAGTCACATTCAACTCTCCTACAGTGGGAAAAACAAGGCTCTGAATGAGACCAGCTAATGCTTCTTTGGCTCTGTCATGATCCCTTCAGTGGGTTGCAATTCTTAGTTTCAGGAACACTACTCTTAACTAATCTTATTTAATGGACTCCTCTCCCTTACTGCACTTCAGCTCAGGAGTAGTGGTCGTGACCAGGTCTATGACAAAACCTCAAGGGACTGAAGCACAGGGATGTGCCTGCATGTCAGAATTCACTCATGACTCCTTAACAGCAAACACAAGCAACTAGTTTGTTCTAAAAACATTCTGAACCATCTGGAAAACATTAGCTTATCAACAGCACAGATTTAAATCAGAAGCCTTAAAAATCTGGGATTAGTTTGAACACGTTCAGCTGTCTCCACATATGAACTTGAAATGTTTAATAACAGGTACAACTTATGAGTTAATGCTCCATGAGGTTATCAAAAAGAACAGTATATTTGTGTAATGAGCATTAATACAGATGAAGTAGGTCTAGTTTGGTTTAAGGTTCTACATGGCACAGTAAGGATCTGCACTGTGTAGTCCTCCTTACTTTCACATCTGATCCACTTGCAGCCTGTTACATCTGTGTCATTACCAATACACGAACTGCAGTTAGAAAGGTATTCACAGATACCTAAAAAAAAAAAGCATTGATTAGGACAAAGTTACCACTGTCAAAAGAGCAACTTTTGAAAAAAGAGCACCACAGAAACCACAGATACCTAAAAAAAAAAGCATTGATTAGGACAAAGTTACCACTGTCAAAAGAGCAACTTTTGAAAAAAGAGCAACCCACAGAAACAACTCTTAGATCCATACCTTCCCATACGTACATCTCCCAGGTTAAGGCACAATCCTTCTCACTGAACTAACTACAACTGAAAGCTACAACTTAGGAATGCATTTGACAAGACAAATACATTGCCCTCCAGACACTACTGATACTCTGAAACCAAACCCCACATGTACACCAAGATCATGCCTCATGCAACCTTCTAACTATAGTAAACTCAGATAGTAGAGGATATACTAGTGAAGTTACCAAAGTCCACCAAATTAATTTTGCAGGAGTTCATTGAAACCTCAGATGGCAAGAGCTTTGTTCCTTTTGATTACATTTTTCCTTTAGGTAATAGAGCCAGCTATAAACAACCCTACAGTAGAAAGCAACCAAAGTAAGGGAAATAAAGACAAGAACCTAGAGGACTTCATGTACAAACGCATATAAAGGAGAGCAGAAAGTCCATCTATTCATATTTTCATCAAGCCAGCAACCTAACCAGTCCAGCTGCTTTTTTTACGTCAATCTCAGTCAAACATTGTTGCCTTAAAACAACAACAGCAACACATCCACCATCTGGATCAAATAAGATCTTCTCCCAATCTACAATTTTACTGCATTAGTTTTAATTAAGACTTACTCATATGGCCATCATACTCAGAAAACCCACATACAACCCACAACTCCTTACACCGCATACTCTCCAGCACATTTCACATCACATCCACCTACTCCAGGCACCTTTGGATGACCTTTCACTTTTCTCCGCTCTGCTCCCTAGTGAAGGGAACGCTGCTATTCACAGATCTTTGGCAATCAGTATGGTAATTTACATCTCAAGATAACAACTACAAATGCATTAACTAACTCCAGTATTCTCATAATTTGAATTAAGCCTGAATCCACCTGGTTATGGTAGGATCAGGCTAGAAATATTGGCACTGTTTCTTCACTTTCAAGAAACATAAGATGATATGAAAAGACCTTTGTCGGTTTGCATCAGTGAGGTTTGCAACAGACTTGCCCTGTTCCCTTCAGAAATAAGGCACTTAAACCACTTCAAGAGCTATATGACAGTTTCTGGATAACAGATTTCAGAATAAAAAAGTAATTTATTATTCTGTGTATACATCTGAAGAACGATCACAGCACACGCAACACTCACTTCTGATGAATGAACAACGTTCACTTTTGTGAATTCCTCACTGATACATAGAAAATTTAGCACAGTACATCTGTGGAGACCCGAGGACAGTCAACACAGCCAGCTAACACCAGGTGTACTAGGACTTTTAGTTTACTTTCAAAACAGCTTTCCCAGACTAGCATGGGAGAGGAATAGATTTGCAAGAGTAAAGGATCAGGAGACATTTTCATTACAGCAAAAGGTTTCAAGAATGAGCTGTTTACTTCAGAATCAGCGGCAGGGTGTCAGATGTTCTCCCAGTGCTACTCCTTCTGTGAAAGGCTCTTTTAGGGTCTTTATATGGGATAACAGCAAGCTCCCCAGCTCTCCCCATTAGCAGATGTCCGCTCTTCACTGAAAAAGTGACTCTGGTACCACGAACTCAGCTCTTAAGCGTAGGCAAGCTCACGTTCCCTCCCAAGATAAACCTGTCTGTTGTACTGGCTCTTATACAGGGTGAATTCGGATATTCCCCTTACACTTGAAGGGGAAACCTGGAAACACTAACAGAAGTCTGTCCTGCTGGACCAACACTGCCCTCTCCCGCTGCACCGGAGAGGTTGTTAACCTCTGACTCTTAGCAGTCCTCAAGCAGTTTACGGTTCCGACAGGGTGCCCGATATTGGCCTACATCACGTCGTCGGTGGTAGGGCTGAAGAGGAAATCTAGAAGGGCTGAAGCAGAGGTTACGGGACAGCTTCACGCTTAGCTGCACCCAGCGCCATTATGCAATGCGGCCAGAGAACATGTAAGTACTTCCAGAACAACTTCTTCGCGTTTTGGGGCATGCGGCACATTTTGTGGTTCTTGGCCACGTAAACACTTTAGCAAATAGCTCACAGAGCCAGAAAGGTCAGACAAACCCACAGGACGAATAACCAGGCTAACATCAGGATAACGAACAACCGGCAGCAGTGACGGAACAACACCGCTTCCGCAAGCTAACTCCCGCAATTTGACCTGTACTCAAGTTTGCAAGAAACGAACGCGCCGCGTACATTTTACTGGACACAAAGCACCCCGCTACTAGTCAACTGCGGCACGCGAAGGGGGATACTGGAGGTGGTGTCAAACCGCGCTAAGGGGTTTCGCACCGCACGCTCCCAAACGCTCCACAGCGAGGCGAAAAACTAAAGCGAGAAGAGAGGAGCCAGAGAGAAGCGAGCAAAAAGCTCGGCGGGCTGCGGCCAAGGCGCTGAGGGCGGCAGCGCT